CAGGGTGCCCAGGACCTCGAGGGGAAGGGGAGCCCCTCTCCGGCTGATCCGGCACAGAGAGGTGAGCAGGGACGGGTACCACATGCCAGCAGCATCCCCACCACCCAGCAGCCAGGAGCAGCCTCCGGCTGCACAGTGGAATAGCTCCACCCAGCCAGGACCATGGCAGGAGCCACCCAAGTGCCTCTGCTCAAACCCCAGGGCAGGGGTGAGATGGGGAGCCAGACACTGGGCTGCCAGAGTAGAGTGGACGGGACAGGCAGGGCGATAGCACCTAACACAGCAGCTTCGTCATCCTCACCCCGTGCACAACCCGAACCCACCCTCTCCCCACCTGGGGTTGAGCCCTGCCGGACAGGAGCTGCTGTCGGGGTCCTGCTGGAAAGCCTTTAGTCAGAGCAAACAGCCCCACGCTCAGCAAAGCCCGTAGCAGCCAGCCAGCATGCAGCCCACCCCAAGGGCTTGCCCTCCCCACCCTACCCCTCACTTCCCCTCCCACCAGCCACGGGACAGCCTTCCTGGGAACTGTTTTGGCAGTAGAATTATTAACTTTAAATAAACAAATTTGTATAAAAAGTCACTGCTAGCAGACATTGTGTCGCAGAGCAGCCTGCGAAACAAATCCTTCCTGGGCACCACTACCCTTAGCCTCCCCAAGCTGAGCATCCTGCAGGAGGGAGTGGAGAAGATGAGGGAGCAGACTGTGAAACAGAGTGCGTAGGAGTAAGAAGAACGAAAAGAAAAAAACCTAACCACATTTCAAAGCATTTTGCCCTGGGGGGGAAGAAGGGAGGTTCCACAAGGACTCCAGTTCAGCCTGAAAGTTGTTGCAAAGCCTAAGACAAAAGAAAAACCCTTTAACCAAAGCTAGGCCAAGAAGACTTTCTGCTCAAGCCTGTTTAGAGAAGGTCATGTTTATTAAAGTATAAGAAAAAAAGCCACCCCAACCAACCCCCATTGGCAGCCCTGGCAGGCTGTGTAGTGACTGTGGCTCCTGAGCAGCAGTGCCAGCCCTCAACCAAGTCCTGGTGCCGGTGCCACAGCCTATGGCCTCAGCTTGGCCATGGTGGAACGGAGCTGGAGTGTCCCCTCCGCCCACGAGCCCGGGTACTGGCACATCTTCTGCCACAGGTTCAGCTCCTCACCTGTGGAGTCCATCCAGTCCACAGCCTGCCCGTTGCTCATGCCTGGGAGAAAGGAGGGACGTGGGCAGCAGTCACTGCCAGAGCAGCCTCCTGCCCACAGCCAGGCAGCCCCAAGCAAGGCTGCTTGTCCCCAGGGTTCAACAGGACCCCAGGGCTCCTCACCATTGCCCACCCCCAGACGGACACCCCCAAGGAAGTCGTTGCTGGACAGTGGCTCCCGGTCCCAGACCGTCAGCTCGAGGCAGATGTGCTGCAGGTCCTCGGGGTTGATAACGTTGTAGACAAAGGTGTGGTTGTAGTGAGGGTTCAGGGTCTTCTTCACCACAGGCGTCTTCCTCTTGGAGGCTTTGGTTTTGTGTGGCAGGAGGTAGCTGGGGGAAGCAGCCCCTTGGGTTAGCAGCACGTGCACCACTGCCTTCTGCCCCAGGACCTGGGGCCCCTCAGCACCCCAGGACCTGGCCTGGAGCCCACCTTCCCTGACATGGCTTGGGAAGAAGGACTGCAACAGTCTGCAAGGGAATGGGTCTATCCTGCCTCCTGACAATCCTGCCCCCCCCAAGACTGCAAGCTGCATAAGGAGGGGAGAGGGCAAGGACTGGAGCCTGCTCACCCCCAGCCATGCTGCCCAGTGTCTTGTTGATCTCTGGGAAGATGATTTGATGGCAACTGAAGCTCTGCCTTGTGCACAGCCTCCCACCACAACCTCCCAAACGGCCAAATGCCAGGAGCACATTTGCTACCAGGAGCAGCTTGTCTCTGGGCAGATGGTGACTTTCAGGGTACCGATGCAGGCAGCGCAGTGCAGCTGGCAGAGACCCTTTCCCTCCCCCAGGTCCCTAGAGCAGCTCTGGGAAGTGCCCTGTGATGCAGCCAGGGAGGACAGTGCATTCATTGCTCCCCTCCCACCTGGGACCCACACTCACCCCTTGACAAAGCTGTCTGAGGTACCCCCAGATTTGGCAGCTGTGAGGTTCTTGGCTTCTTTGATCCAGACCTGAAGCTCACCACCTTCCCCCGTTTTGCCTGGGGAAAAACCCAACACAGCAAGAATTCATCAACCTTCATTCCCACCAAACTTCTGGA